TGTTGACAAAAAAGAAAATATTGAATTTGATCTCATCTCTCAAATTGAGTGTTATTTTCATCCATTTTATAAAACTTTATTTTATCAACAATTGTAATTTAATGAAATTCGAACTCATCTCTTCCCGATAATGTTTATAATTTTTTATTTTTGTTATACAAAAACAAATTATTGTAGGTTGCTAGTGGATTGGCAATAAATTTTGTGCAAATTATATTTGTTGTAGACTTCTATTTGGAGAATAAAAGCAAAAGATGCTTCACAATCACTTCTAAAAAAAGCAAATTCGTCGAAAAACAATTCACATAAAAATGCTTGTGACAATACTTAATTTGTAAACAAAAGCTCTTGATGTTTTTTTCCCCTTCCAAAATTGATTGGGACAATGTTTCACTTTCACATTTAGTCATTGTCATTAAGTCCATAAACAAGCTAACCTAAAGCTTACTTATTTATCAACCTCTTTTGCTTCTTCTATGCTTTCCAACTTTTTGAAAACAACACCTATGCTTTTGATCATGATTAGTCTTTGCATCCTTTTCATTTTAAACTTCTTTTGTTGTTGTTGTTGTTGTTTGGGTAATGTTCACTTTTGACATCACAACACGAATATTTATTCGTTCAGGTCGCGCGACATGTGAGATACGAACAACTGTTGCACACGTGTCATACATGTTTTAATGCTCGGTAATCATATGAAAGATTCTTAAATCTCAATATAATTTCTCTTAAAGCGAAATATGATACATTAATTGCAATTGGGTGAATATTAAAGTAGATACACTTACAAGATGAACTCAAATATTTTCTTAGGCTTTTTAGCCAAAATGGTTCCTGAGTTTGTTCATCATCAATCATTTTGGTAATTTCATGAAAAATTTCCGTTAAATGAGGAGAAAATGACAAAAATACTCTCAATTTTTATCAAATCATTTTGACATGTTGTTTATTAAAATAAAGGGTATTTTTGTTATTTTGGTCGTTATTTAATAGAGATTTTTCACTGAATGACCAAAATGATTGACTGTAGTCAAACTCAGATACTAGTCCTATCACTTTCAAATAAATTTAAGAACCAATTTGGCTAAAAAGCCTATTTGCGTACAAGAAGTTACATGGAATATATGCTAGAATATTCATGAGAGAGCACCTAATGTCACATCCCGGCCCAGGTCCCCACCACATCCCAGGTTCGACTCCACCGTAGCACGATATTGTCTGCTTTGGGCCCCTACCACACCCTCACGGTTTTGTTTTTGAGAACTCACATGAGAACTTCCCAGTGGGTCACCCATCTTAGGGTTGCTCTTGCGCGCTACTCGCTTAACTTCGGAGTTCCTACAGAACCCGAAACTAGTGAGCTCCCAAAATGTCTTGTGCTAGGTAAAGATGAGAATATACATATAAGACTTACATGATCCACTCCCCTGGGCGATGTGAGATGTTACAACTAATGTGCCATTAAAATTAAGGAAAACTAATAAAAAAAAGTTTGAAATTTTTTAGTTTTAACAAAAATGACAAAATAAATGGTAAAATGAATAGTATCAAGATTGACTTTTTAGTGTAAAAATATAATTTTTAGTTAAAATAAACAGTACTGGGAGCTTTTCGTTAAAATTCCCTTGAAATTATGCATGTGTTACTCCTTTCCTTTCCTTTCCTTTTGAAGTGGCAGTTTGGCTTAACTTTCATTGTGTTTCTCTCATGCAAGAAGCCATAAAAATAAAAAATATATTTCAAACACTATTTATCATCTCCCACCGTCCTATCCTTGTTACCATAATTAGAAGTCCATATAAATTATATGGAATCACATCTAACTATTATGCGTTGTTTCTATTTGATGTGTGAAATAGTGAAAGTCAGTTTCCTTAAATTATATATAACACGTGCGAAGAGACTTTTCATTTTATTGTTCAAGTAGGGTATTGACATCTCCTTAATGGGGATACAAGAACGGCCATAGCGATCTCCTCCAGCACATCAAGATCCGATTGGTTATAAACATTGTAAGGTGCTACTCTTTGCGAGTCCCAGCATATCGTTAAATTATCAAGATCCGGTCGATCATGAACAGCGTAAGCTGCTGCTTTGCGAATTCCAGCATACCCTTAGAAAGAACGACTATGTATATGGAATGAGCCAAATGACGTCTCATCCTCAAGATCCCATTGGTCATGAATATAAGGTGCTGCTCTTCGCGAATCCCACCATACCCTTAGAAAGAACGACTTTATATATGTAAACAGCCGAACCATGTCTTATCTAAATGTACTCATCCCAATAATTATGTAATGAGGTAGCAAGTTTGTTCTTTTATATATCTTGGATTCTTGATTATTGCAGGTAAAGTAGGAAAAAAAAAAAACTATCAAAAAAGCGGAAAAAATAAGAAGAAAAGAAAAATTCATAGTACTGTTCACATTAACGAAAAATCATATTTTCACATTTAAAATTAATCATGATACTGTTCATTTTACCTTTTATTTTATTATATTCGTTAAAACTCAAAATTTTCAAACCTTTTTCATTAGTTTTCTATAAAAAAAACAAAAAGAGGGAGAGGGTAGCAGTAGCACTAGTACTGTAGCAGGCATGAGGAAAGCAGGTGCATCATCATCTTGTAAGTTCTGGAGTCAGGGACTCAGTGGTCGTTGTCGACGAAGCTCTCAGCATCAAACTTCTACTTTGGGTGGGGCTTTCACTATTATTGTTGTAGCCCACTGCCCCTTGGAGGCATTCGTGTAAGTGTTAGGTCAACAATTTGGAACAGTTTTTGGATCCTTCTGCCTAACTCTTTTCACCTTTCCTTTCTCTTTTTCCTTCTACATCCTTCCATATCCCATCTCCAAAGCAAACCAAGGAACTTGCTAGTTGCCATCATCATCATCCCCCCAAGTCCCGGCTCTATTATAATATGTTTTGCATCCATCACGCGACGAGAAAGATACTAATTGCATTATAACAACGTCAGGCGATAATAACTAATTAGTAACGTAAGAAGATCGCGTGTTAGAGATACGTTAAAAAAATAGTTACATGTTTGAAATAAATGAAGAGGATTTAAACACGAGCCGCATTAGATTATAAAAGAGATTCATAACCACTAAGACAATCCAATAATGTACTTATATTTGTAATACGTAAACATCGTGATGTGATATACTCTCGGTTACATGTTAAAATTAATATTAATGAAGGCATCTTTGTATAGTTATATATGTGTAATGTGTATGGTCCAAAATTCACCACCTAATCCCTCTCCTTTTTCCTTTATCTCTTTGTCCTGTTCTGCCGTTTTGGCTCTTCTTTTGCCACGTCCCTGTTCAACGAATTCATGGTCCCTCTCCTCCCCCAACCTTTCATTCATTTTGGGCCTAATAGGCCTCCCTTGTTGTGGGGCTGGACTCTGTACTAAAGGTGCTCACGAAATGGGCTTAGATTGGATAATTCTCTCTCTTTAGTTGGGGGAAGTCGGAGCAGGAGCCTGATAAGATCCAACCTCCGACCTGCCTTGGGTGTTCATAGAATTCCCGGCTAGTTCTATGGACACTCGAGAGACAATTCTTGGTTGTTCACTGGCAATTTTTGTGTCATGTGCAGGAAGATTAAGATCTTGAACCCATCTTTTCATCATATATGCAAAAACGACGAGAGAAATATGTGACGATTATGCGAGGTTTCAACCTATTCACGCATTCCCATGTTTTAACTCACGCAACTGTTATTGAGCAACCAAGTTGAAATACTGTCACAGACTCACAATAACATTTTCGTTGCACTAAAGTTTTTTTTTCCAATAAGGGAGCCTACATTGATGAGATCAATCAAACATTTCTTTTGTCAATTTTGAAGGTCCCATCGATTTTTTTCCCTCCTCCCCTGAATCCAAAAGCAAACAGGAAAACGTGGTCGATGGATCTAATCAGATGCAGTACGATGTACAGTAAAAAATACGTCATTACGTTACATCCTCACCTTTATTGCTTTTTATCTCATGTCTTCTCAGTTCCCACAGATCTGACTCATCCATCATGATTCAGGCAGCTGTAAGCGAATCAACTCAAAAGATTCCCCGGAGTTAGGTTTCGTGGGCCCAACCCAAATGGTACTGGTACTGGTACTTCCCCGCGCGCTAGATCAAGTGGGCTGAGGGTTTAACGGCCCAATAACAATATGACGCAAGCGTAAAGGCATAGGCCCTAAACAATCGCACCTGACCCGATGCAACAACGGCGTCGTTTCTTGCTTTTTTTTAATGAAGGGGAGTATTTTGCCGATTGTACCCTGCTTAACTTTTATTTCGATCATGTCCCCTTTAATTTTTAAGTAATGGTCATTTCCTCCCTTTCAAATTTATACGTCCTCATATTTTATTTTTCAATATTTCATAAAAGAAAATTTTATATTACATTTAGAAAGAAAATAAAAATATCATTGAAACGACATGCATATTGTTTTTTTGGATGAAAAGTTGAATGAAATGCAAGTAAACATGCTATTTATGTTTGTTTGGCAAGAAAATTTGGGGAGTTGGGGGTGGGGGATGATATGGCAAAATACGAGAAATAACAAACACCAATTAAGCATTGACAAGTTGTTTTGAAAATTTTGATGAAACGTGAGAGAAAATGTTAGCGTGATCAATTGGTTATTTATGGGTTCTTTTTTGGAAATACTTTTATTTAGTGTTTCTTCCAAAAAACAATACTTAAAGTTCTTTTATAATCCAAAATTAATTTCATCAAAAATAGTTTTAATCATTTTAAAAGTATTTCCAAATGAATCATATTAGTTCAAAGAAAAACAGGGCCTAATAAAGTTTTAAGGACCAAATCGACAGTATGCAAAACTTAGGTAGGGCAGGGGGGGGAATATGGCAAAATACACCCGCGAAAGAAAAAGCCCGCGAAAGGAGAAAGCCTTAGCGGTGGAAGAACAAATATTTCTTTCCCGCGAATTTCCACACTGGGTGCCTTGCTGGCGATCCGTGCGCCTACCCTCTCGCCCAATCAGATCACACCGTCGCGTCCTATAATTCCCTATCCCCACTCACATTTCATTTTCACAAGCACTCCTCTGTCTCGCGCATACTTCTCTGTCGCCAAAGATTCGATCTTTTTCTAGGGTTAGGGTTTCTCCGTTCCCAATTTCTGTGATTCCGTCGCCGATTCTCGGAAAATGAGTGCGAAAGAAGGAGCGTCGACCAAGGGAGGCAGAGGCAAGCCGAAGGCCTCGAAGTCTGTGTCGAGGTCGCATAAGGCCGGTCTTCAATTTCCTGTGGGTAGGATCGCCCGGTTCCTCAAGTCTGGAAAGTACGCCGAGCGTGTCGGTGCCGGCGCGCCTGTGTATCTCTCCGCCGTGCTCGAATACCTCGCCGCTGAGGTTAGTTTGTGTTTGATTTATGTGGGTTTTTGTGTTTTTAGTTTTATGTGTCTGCGAATGAGTAATTTGGTTTTTAAGTTTGATTTTGTTTTGTAATTTGATGAAATTTCATGTTTTTGGGATTTGGGTCGATCTAGTTATGGGTTTAATTTTCTGGGTTTAATCCAATTTCTGGATACGAATCGGTATAGTGTTGTGTTTTAGGATTTGAAATGTGTTTAATTAGTAATACTTGTCAAATTAGCTCGTTATTGGGGTTTTGATTCGTTTGAGTTTGATTGGGATTGTTTCTCTTGATTTTTAATCGGATTTTTCAATGCCAATTTCATTTTATTTTTTTGTTATCAGGGTCTTGATTCGCTGGAGTTGGTTGGTTAAGATTTTCACGGTATTTGGCATTGTTTTCTTGAACTTTATGGTTTTGATCTGATTTTTTAGTGTGAAATTTTGTTTAGGTGTTGGAGCTTGCTGGAAATGCTGCGAGGGACAACAAGAAGAACCGCATTGTACCAAGGCACATCCAGCTTGCGGTTCGGAACGACGAGGAGCTGAGCAAGCTGTTGGGGGCAGTGACCATTGCTAATGGAGGAGTGTTGCCAAATATCCACCAAACCCTCTTGCCTAAGAAGGTCGGAAAAGGCAAGGGCGATATCGGATCCGCCTCTCAGGAGTTTTAGCTCTCTCTTTTGCGGTGTAGCGACGTTGATTAGTCACCGCAGTTGTATAATATCATGGTTTTCGTTTTGCTGTTTTTAGTCGACCTTGTGATGTTTAGTGCTTGTAATTTCTATGATATAATGAAATGGTTATGTTAATCTTTTGATTAAAAGAAAATTAATGAAAATGATTTGAAAATTTTAAGTTTTAACGATAAAAACAAAATAAAAAGTAAAGTGAATAATATCACAATTAATTTTTTAATGTAAAAATACGATTTTTTGTTAAAGTAAATAATATTGAAATTTTTTTGTTAAAGTTCTCTTTGATCAATTGAATCCACATTAGTTTCTTTGATCACTTTTAAGATTTGTATGAAATACTTCAAAATATAATTTAAAATATTTTTGGAATTGATTTTTTTCTAAAAATTTAAGTAGATATTAAAAATACAATTAAGATAGTGTTTTTTTTTCCAAAAAATATTTAAAATGTTTTTTTAATTTAAAATCAATTTCACTACAAGAGTTTTAATTATTTTAAAATCATTTTTAGACGAGTTTTGAGTTCAAGGTGTTGCCTTGGTGTTTTGCTTATATATTCATCCCTAGTTTAAATATAAATCCAACCTCTTGATATAATATAAATGTGATATAAAAAATATGATAAATTTATTATTAAATATAATTATGATAAATAAGAATACTATAAATTAAAAATTTATAAATACACAGTTTACAACTCAATATTTTCATTATTCTATAAATTAAAAATTAAGTTTACTTTGTGCCAAAGTTGAGGATATGTTGATGTATATATGACTACATTATGTCATGTGATTTTAGGCATTCACACAGAGATGTATTCTTGGTGATTCCTAATATTTCTCACGTAATAAGTGCGACATTCACATGAAGATATATCAAACACTCGAGATTTCACTCAGATCTCGACTCTTTGACATATTGAATAAAATACAAGCAAACATTATAAATTGATCCATGCCTATGAACTAGGAACTGCAATAATTATCAACTAAAACCACAATATTTTTCAGATTTATTAGGAAGATAACATGGATTATCCATTTTGTGTGGCTCAAAAGAGTTGAAACAAGTTGTAAGAAATAGCCCTTATTTTCATTGGTTCAGAGGCTTTTATGCATTTTCTTTAGATGGGTACTGTGATGCACGTTCACTATGCAGGCTCATCATGTAAACCCCGACTGAGTCTGAGATTTCCCAGTTTTAGAGTCATATGTTCATCAGAGCTTAGCGTGTCGAGGCGACAAGTTTTGAAGCAAGTGGATGAGGAGTTGGGCAAGGGAGATGAGAGAGCAGCCCTCTCACTTGTTAAAGATTTGCAGGGCAAGCCCGGTGGCCTCAGATGCTTTGGTGCTGCTAGGCAGGTTTTTCCAAACTCACACTCCGTTTAGTCAGTTTTGTATTCTTTAACTCGAAAGAAGTGCTTCCAGAAAGCGTTTGTGAGCAGAAGTGCTTTCTAGAGCGCATTTCCGAAAGGGACCGTGCCTTAATGCTGCGTTGCAGCAATAGGAAAATGAATGGAATTTCATTGTGCAGGTACCCCAAAGGCTTTACACCTTGGATGAGCTGAAGCTGAATAAAATAGAAGCGTCGTCTCTTTTATCCCCGGTGGATACTACTCTCGGTTCCATAGAAAGAAACCTGCAGATCGCTGCTGTGGTAGGAGGTGTTTCAGCATGGAATGTGTTCGGGTTTAGTCCGCAACAGATTTTCTATCTTTCTTTAGGGTTGTTGTTTCTGTGGACTCTGGACGCGGTAACTTCCTTACACTTGCCTGAGAACATGTCTTCAGAATCAATGCCATTGAAAATCTTGAACTGTTAATTGAGGGGCTGACAACAATCTTCGAGATAGTAAAATCCGCCAAAGCGGTTTCTCGCTTGAAATCATTTGTAGCCCTTGACATTTCATCAGTTTTTGCTTAGTTACAAACATTCATTGACTTGCATTGTGTCATCAATTTGTCCTAGATATCTTTCAATGGAGGACTTGGTAGCTTGGCTATTGATACAATTGGTCACACCTTTAGTCAGAAATACCGAAACAGGGTCACTCAAGTAAGATCTCTCCCGTGCCCTCTTCGTATATCTTCTTTTGGTGTACATATATATCTTCGTAGACAAATATTTCCCTCTGAAAAACTTGTATTTCCTGTGGGAATATCATCATTCATCATGAATTGTTCATCTGAAAGAGAAAAAAAATATTGCAGCACGAAGCAGGCCATTTTCTAATTGCGTACTTGGTTGGCATCCTTCCAAAGGGATATACACTATCCAGTTTGGAGGCTTTGAAGAAGGAAGGATCTCTCAATGTTCAAGCAGGGACCGCTTTTGTGGATTTTGAGTTCGTCGAAGAGGTATATTTCTTTCGTACATTACTCTGCATTATCATACTCTTTTCTGTTTCTGCCATTGTTTTCATTCACCGAATGGGGTTCGTTCTGTTGATTGTTTTCTTTCCGAATCCATTTGTCTATGCAAAGCTTCATTGATATCCCAAAATCGATAAAAAAAAGTACAATGTTCGTACAGATCAAATTCCAAGTTACTCATAACTTCTAATGTCATGCTTTGGTTATTGTCCTTGATTTATAGCAGTTCCCACTCCATGTTGCAGGTTAATGCAGGGAAAGTATCAGCCACTGTATGTCACTACCATTTTTCTCTAAAAATTTTAATTCTCCGTTATTTCGAAGTGAGAAACGTTCATGAATTGTGCATCTTATTAGACGCTGAACAAATTTGCGTGCGTAGCGCTAGCTGGTGTTGCTTCCGAGTATCTCTTATATGGATACGCCGAGGGCGGGCTTGCTGATATCAACCAGGTTTAGACCTGACCTTGTTACATGGTTGCCTGTAGCGCAAGTAAAAAGAAGGACGCAATGCAAGAAGTTTACTAACCGAATGTGTTTGCTTGTCGAAACAGTTGGATTCGTTGTTCCGAAGCTTAGGCTTCACGCAGAAGAAAACCGATTCCCAAGTGAGATGGTCTGTGCTGAACACCGTCCTAATTCTGCGCCGCCATGAAGGAGCACGAGCGAAACTTGCAGAGGCGATGGCAGAAGGAAAATCTGTAGGGGCTTGCATTGATGTCATAGAGGATACCATAGGCAATGCGGACATCTAGCTGATGCAGCCGGGTTGCTGTTGATGCTCGGAAAAACTCAAGCTTTGATCTTTGCACTTCTTTTTCTTTCTTTCATTTATTTTGGATGTGAAAAAAACACTAGGGAAAAGAGAGGCAGTAAGATCATGTGCAATGGTGTGAGATAAAGCTTAAAAATTTAAGTCAGAAACTTTTACGACATAATTCAAAAATAACTTTTCTCCTTTAATGGTTATGGCTTGAAATTTTAGCATTATTAAAAATAGTTTTAGTGTATTTATTTTTGTTCAAAAAAAAATTATGTAGGTTATCCAAACTTGGATGAAAAATGTATGGTTATTTTTATTAACACTCCACATATTGTTGAATAAACCCCACATAAAAATTTATTATTAAATGACTTATATTTCTATTAATTAATAAAACCCTCTTTGTCAACCAAAAGAAGATGAAGACAATTTAGTCTTCTATCACACAAAAAAATGATGGGCAATAATGTAATTTCACAGGTGTAAATTTTACTGTTTTTTATTGAAGCCTCACTTACAGGTAATGTTAAAATACCTCTAATATTTAAAAAAAAAACCAAAAACAAAAAACAAAAACCTTCCACTCCCCCAACTCTCTCTCTCTCTCTCTCTCATTTTCTAAAAAAATATGCTCATACTCACAAAGTGTGCAGGCAAATGCTAGTATCTATTTTCTGAATACATCCCAAATTATTTTCATATTTTTATCTTCAAGCTCTCAAAGTCACTCCTATCATCCAGTGTAGAACAAAACTTTAACAACCACCAAACAAGATGATTATAGATGAATACACACACACATGTGAAATCTAAAATCCCTAATTGATAGAAATGAATGAAGTTTATTAAAACTAACCCCGCAAAATGGACAAAAATATTTGTAGTTAATTGAATAGAGAAACCCTAAAATTCTTAATTGAAAGAAACGCCAAAACGGAATAATTGAAAATTGAAAAAAGAGTATAAGAAAAATTTTCGATTCGTACTTGATTCAAGTTTCTTAATAGATGATAAACCATTTGAGAAACCCCTTAACTCGACATATCTCAAAAGTCCAACAATTCCAGATTAGAGGAAAAAGTGGGGTCCTCAAAGATGCACAAAGAAAGAAGCAAGATGATACTAATGGAGTTTGGTCAAACTTTTTCTTCATAAACCCTAAACCCTAAACCATTGATTTGAATGTGAGGCACTTCCTCTTTACACCTCATAGAAATTTCTACCCATGATCATTGGACAATACTCGTTTTTGAAAATGGTGGCGAAGATGAACTTGTGAGACGAACATAGGATTTTGATTTGGATTTTAAGTAGAGATTGTGAGGTAATGTAGAAAGTGTGGGGTGTGAGAATAGTATTGGAAAGTACGTGGAGTGTATTAAGATATATTTTAGTTTAAAAAGTAAATATGACGTGTATAAAGTATCTGAGGTGTAATAAAAAACATGAGGTGAAAATAAAACAACCCAAAATGTATGTTTATATTTTTTTTTAACATAAATTTGTTTTCCACCGCTCAAAAAGAGAAAATAAATAAGATTTTGATCTTACATATCCTCTCCTAGGATAAAACTCACATTTACATATTCTAGAAATGTAAAACTAATGTAAATTGTATAGATACCCTAATCATTTTTATGGAACTTTAACGAAAAGCTTCCGGTACTGTTTATTTTATCGAAAAACCATATTTTTACACTAAAAAAATCAATCATGGTACTATTAATTTTACCATTTATTTTATTCTTATTGTTAAAATTCAAAGTTTTAAAACCGTTTTCATTAGTTTTCCTCTCTACGAATGTTTTTTGTTTTTCGTTTTTGTTCTGTTTTTTATTTTTTATTTTTTATTTTTTATAAATTTACCAAATTGTCCTTTTTCGTTTTGCTTTGTTGAAGTCGTTTTTGCAGTTGACGCATTCTTGGTAAAGACGCGCGCAGTCTGCAACTGCAAGTCCTGAAATCAACCGGCCTCCTTATTCATCTCTCTCGGTCAGACAGAGAGTCAGAGGAGTGAGAAACAGTACAGAAGGAAGAGAGAGAGTGAGAGAGAATGGAGGTACAGTGGATTCTGGTGTGCCATGGTTTAATCACACTGCTCGTTCTAGTCTCCTTCCTCTGCGGCCAATGGCCCATCTTCGACGGCACCCCCATACAACGCATCAACCACTTCCTCACCTTCGGCGCCTACGATTACTTCCAGTTCAGCACCCTCTCTCTCTCTCTCCATCTCTCTCTCTCTCTCTCTCTCTCTAAGATTTAATTTTTGATCTTTCTGTGCAGACGGTTTGTTGGGTTTGTGTTTGGAGCCAGGGGTACTAATGCCATAGCCTCCGTGGAATATTTCTGCTGTGATCGACCCAATCCAATCTTACAGGTTCCTTCTTTTTTCCCAGAAACAGAATTGTCTTCGTGTTGTTTTTGTGATTGGAATTTGGAAATTTGGAAATTTTGGGTTCTGGTTGGTTGACTTTGTTCATAAAGTTGTAAATTTTTGTGGGTTTTCTTGAGAATTGGATCTGTGGGTTCAATTATGGTTCATTCGGGCTTACGGTGGTGCTGCTTTTGGTTAAATATCAACTCAGTTTTATTGGATGACCCATCGAAAGGTTTTGTTTTTCGTGTTATGTATGTGCATTTGCAATGGAATTTTCGTGCGATTTGGTAGTGCATTTTGTTAAATTGCTGGTTTTTTTCTTGCTTAGAGTAAGTAGGAAAGGAGAAATCTATGGGGAGGAGGCAAATTGTGAGGAAATGTGGTAAGAATATTTGAGGAATTTGAGGATGGAGGATCTGATGCTCCCAAGTAACGGTATTTCAAGTTAGAGATGTATGAATGTGCTTAAAGTTGGTAAATTTGAAAGAATCATTAGGAATTGCTCAATGGTCAGTCACTAGGATCTAGGTGGTTAAATGCTGCAATAGAAGAAGAAAAACTAGGTGTAACGTATGAGTGCCTTCGATTTCTAAACTGAGTAATGTAGAAGCTAGGAAATCTTTTTCTCTCTGTCTTTGATTCGGGAGTAATCTTTAGCTTTCTGCTTCATTGCAGTTCATGTATCTTGCAATAGTAGGAGGAGCCTATTACTTAGTTGCAACTTCTTCCTTCAGTTACATTCCTGGCTATTATATTAGTGAAATTCACAGGTACGCGCCAAAGATTAAGTTTAGGTAAAGTCTTCTTAGTACAGGATCCTCTAAGCAAGTTTATATATTTCAGGTATGCAAGCTTGTGGGCTGTTGGCTTTGGTGTTCTGCTCTTTCTCTTAGCTAGCTTTTCTGATCCAGGAACAATAAAGGCTGATAATGTTTCTCTGTATCTCTCTGCTTATCCCTATGATAATATTATATATTCTGAGAAACAATGTTCAACATGCAAAATTCCAAAGTGAGTTCTCACCCTCAATGGCTTATTTGAATCCTTCCATGGTTTTTGGTTTATTTATTTTATGTGATCTCTGTTTCTTCCTTTTCTTAATTTCCCTTTTTTCTTGTCCTTCGTCTTCTGTGGTTCAGACCTGCTAGGTCAAAGCATTGCAGCGTTTGTGATCGATGTGTTGCCCGTTTTGATCATCATTGTGGATGGATGGTCTGAAACGCTCTTAACTATTCTTCTTTTTTCTTCCATTCCCTCCTTCATATTTGGACATTCCATTTGTTGCTTATTGTAAATTTGACACCACTGTTTTGATTACAGAATAATTGTATAGGTGAGAGAAACACCCAGTACTTCTTAGCTTTTCTTTTGTGGTGAGTTCTTCTGTCTGATGCAGCAAGTGAATGCTTATTTGTGTTATTTGGCCTTTTGTTTTATCCACCGCCTATGCTTCCCAATTAATTGATTATACATGTTGATAGGGATTTTGTTGGGTAGCAATTGTTTTATGGTTTGATAAAGTGCTTACTGATAATCGAGGTTATCATCTAGAATCTCGGTTGAAATTTAGCAATCCAATCTTGGCGTATCATGTTGAAATGAATAAAGATAAAAAGAAAAAACTTTTAGAACTTAAGGTCTATGAGGTTTTAGGGCATGTAATTTTCCATTTCGCTCTTGAAATTCACAGCAAATTACACTGGAGAAACTCCAAGCCACTGTCTTAAATGCTCAATCAATTTTAACTTTATTATAGCTGTGAGGTTATATGTTGTATTCGTTTATTTGTGTGTTTGTTATCATTTATCTAGTGCTTTTTCAGGCACACTTTACTTTGCATATATGGAACAGTGGCCATTGGGTTAATTCTTGCTGGACAAGTTAAAGAATACAAAGTTATTGAAATTCTAACTGGTAAGTTGATTTGGTAAATTGACGACTTTCACACGAAGCCTCCTACTTGATGATAGTGTTGCATCTGAAGTTCTGAACCTAACTGGCGTTCCTTTCCCTTATTTTTTCAATGCAGCTTATTATGGTGTAGATAATTCTTTTCGCGGTTTAACACCACATGTTGTGCAGGTAAGTTGATTTGTTTTGTTTTGGTGATTGAGATGGGCAATAGCTTCCAATGATACTGTGCTTGTTATCTTTTCAGTTGACAAAATAATTGTCAAAAGTTCAATACTTTTTGTGCATTCTTGTTCTTTGCACATTTCAAAAACATTTCCATAAGCATGCATTAGTGAAAAAACTTGTACACTGTTCATCGTTAAGCTGACTTAGGGGTGTACTATCCACACACCCCTTTTTACTTCTCACACACCTCTTGTTGATTTATGTCCCTTGATCTTCTTTAATTCATCCGATCCAACGGCCGAAAATTAAAAAGTTATGTGAAAAGTAAAAAGGGGTGTGTGAATATCACACCCCGCTGACTTATTGCAGTTCTGGCGATCCCTTGTTAAGCTGACTTATTGCATTATTGTGTTTCTGAATACGAAAGAGCCTGTCTCTACATGGAGATGAGGCTGCTTGTTCTTTGAATTCGTAGAAAAGGCCTAGTCAGACTTCACCGTCCATTTACTTTCCATGATGTCTCCAATTATGAACTGTAGCTTTGAGTGTCACTCATTGCATTGACCATTGTTTCGGCTTTTCCGTGTTGTTGATTTGCTTAATTTTGTTTTTCTGATATGTTACAGTGGTTGTTGGGGGACTACAACACTCAAATACTTCTTATGGTGTTTCTTGCAATAGTTGCACTGCTATTGGCAGGTTTCTTTGGTTACCATGCAAAACTTTGTCTCACAAACACTACCACTAATGAGGTCTATTTCTCTCTCCGACTTTGTTCAATAATTTAATTTGTTAATGTCTTGGTAAAGTTCCAAAGAAGGGAAGGATAGAGGTAATACTTAATCAGGCGGGGATAGTTCGTTAGGCTTCATCGCTGCAACAGAAGAACTACCTGGGGAATAGAAGGCTTTAAAGAGCGTGACTTCTTTCATTGCTGAAACAGTGGAACTTATCGTGTTTACTTCTTTTGAAACAGACTTATAAGTGGCAAGACTACATGAGCTGGCAGAAGAAGCTAAATGAAGCAAGGGCGAGTTCTGTGGCACTCAAAGCAAGTATCAGTGGGATAAGTAGTGAACGAAAACCTCCAGAGAGTAAATGGAGAGCCATGTTCCGAAGATCCCCACTCGAAGATGCAGAGGTTGTGGTTCAGAATAACATTTACGATAAAGGATTCTTCCAGAATATTCTCGAGGTCATTGTTCCCCTCTCGAGCAGACTGCATTCGTCTAGAACCAAATCAAAGTCTGGCTAAGAAAGACTACTGGCCTGTCAATGTTGCATGCTTGCCTCTCGTTTCCTCCACCAACTGAACAGCTTCATAGCCCGCTCTCGCAAAACTTGTCGTGCTTAGATGGCCAGCATCAGTGAGAGACGGGGGGCCTTGTGCTGTGCGGATCTAACACGATCGGATGTGTAACATTATTGATTCTTGCAGATGCCTATGGGCTATGGCTGAATGTTTGTGGTTGGCAGTTCATTCAACGATTAGGATAATCGATTTGTGTTCAATCTGTAATGTTATCATTTAGCTTAGGGGATTATGGTTGTATAAAAGCCAGATCTGTTCTCTATTACTTTCTGTAAGACGATACATTTTACTCACTTATCAACAGAAGAATGAAGTAGTTTATCTTTCTATCTGTATTGCTATGTTATCTGGTATTTAGTTCTCCCGTCGAGAGAATCTGATGTGTAATATCACGTGATGAGAGAAATACACATCTGATAACTCTTCGTATAAAATCGAAAATAGTTAACAATCTCCGTTTACATAAAACCGAGAATAGCCAAGAATCTCCGTTTGCGCTCCCGAGTCACGCTTGCTACATAGAAAAAGCTTGTATTTTTGTAGCTGCTAAAAAAACAACCCCAAAAAAACAGGGAGCTGAACCTAAAACAGTTAATTTCGCCCCCAAAACTCACTGACTTGGTACGTCGTCGTATAATCGCCATTGGAGTATCTCAGAGCCCCTTTCTTCTTCGTCTCAATGCTTCTCTTTGATTAACTTCTTGTGAACCAAAGTTTAAATCTCGTCCCTTCAATTACCAATTTGTCTCTGTAAATTTTGAAATTTTCAGATTTTTTTCTTCTTCTTTCAGATTTAATCGAATTTTTAAAATTTAATTTTGTGCAGAAGCTTGTTAGGGTTTCTACGATGATATACACGGCGATAGACACCTTCTACCTGACCGACGAGCAGCTACAGAATTCGCCGTCGAGAAAGGACGGGATAGATGAAGCCACGGAGACCACGCTCAGAATCTACGGCTGTGATTTGATCCAAGAAAGTGGAATTTTGCTCAAATTGTATGGTGTTTCCATTTTTTTTTTGTTTAAATTCGTAGAATTTATGATTCTTCTTTAATTTGAGGGGAAATTACTAAATTTGTTTTGCTTAATTTGATCACTTGCAGACCTCAAGCTGTAATGGCGACTGGTCAGGTTCTGTTTCACCGCTTCTATTGCAAGAAGTCCTTTGCACGCTTCAATGTCAAGGTATTTGCTTTATCTGTGCATTCGCTTCATAGATTTATTGCGATTACTCGAAGCACACGCCGCGAGTTAGAGGTTTCACGCTGCTTATATGTTTGATTTGCTTGTATATTTGTGTTAACAGATGTTCTGTCTAAAACCTGTGTTCCGAACTTGAGAGCATTGAATGGTTACCTTCAACATTTTTCCTTGTAGTGTTTGTGCTGTGTTGTGGTGATGAAAATGTACCTCATATGATGGTGTACAGTGTTCTTCTTTTTGGTTTTTCGACAAGTAGTAGACATATTTATTAGGAAAAAAGACGTCCCTGTGGCCGTAGTAGGTTAAATGGTCCAATCTCTTATTTCATAAGCGAAATATCAGCACTCTTGCACTAATGGTTTTGTTTTCATGTGGCATGATGTTTTGTTGCAGAAAGTTGCTGCTAGCTGTGTGTGGCTTGCATCGAAACTGGAGGAGTGCCCGAAGAAAGCCAGACAGGTGATCATTGTTTTCCACAGGATGGAATCTAGGAGGGAGAACCTACCCATTGAGCATTTGGACCCATTTTCAAAGGTTAGAGCTCATATATGCTATATTTGTATAGAATTATAGTTATCGTATTACAATCATTGTTTTTCATTATCATCCTTTAGAACCTAACGGATCAAATCTATTGTCTCCCTCTTTGGTGCGCGTAAGTGAATGGTTTCATTTCTTTTATTATCATTGCACTGATGGAGTTCATTGTAAAGCGTATCAAAGTTTCCATGTTTTTATCTTTTTGTTTTTTCAGAAATATTCGGACTTGAAGATGGAGTTGAGTAGAACAGAAAGGCATATTTTGAAAGAGATGGGTTTCATCTGTCATGTTGAACATCCTCATAAGTTCATATCAAATTACCTTGCCACTTTGGAAACACCTCCGGAATTAACACAAGAAGCCTGGAATCTAGCAAATGACAGGTACTTCTTTCAACACACGCCAATTACTTATTTACTTTCCTGGTACTTGGCTTTCCATTTGACTTTGAGTCCTTCGAACTTTATATTGGTGTTTATGTATTGAAAATTATCTGTTTACCTGGTATATGTGTGCATGTAATGTTGAAGATTTCAATGTGCTATATTGTTGGTTAAATTCTCACAAATTTTTTACTGCAGTTTGCGGACGACATTGTGTGTTCGATTCAAGAGCGAGGTTGTTGCTTGTGGTGTGGTTTATGCTGCTGCTCGGAGATTTCAAGTACCACTTCCTGAAAATCCGCCATGGTGGAAGGCATTTGATGCTGAGAAATCAGGGGTTGACGTGGTTTGTAGGGTTCTGGCTCATTTGTACAGCCTTCCTAAAGCAAAGTACATACCGGTCTGTAAAGAGGGTGACTCTTTTACATTTTCCAACAAGTCGTGGATTTCGTCTCAGCCAGTTACAAAGGTAATTCTGACTCCTTTTTTCTTATAATTTTTTCCCCTCCCCATTATGATTTACTTAGAGCCAGCAGCTTATCGTATCTTGATATTTCAAGGGCTACTGTTTCTCCCTAGGAAGGTTCATTAGATACGTACAATCACCTGCTTATCGGTGGTTTAACAGCAGCACTGCTGGCTGCAAAGTGGGAGCAAGATTAGCAACTGTAGGATATGAAGAGGATGGAAATTACGTACTTAGTATGGATTTTTATTTCTCAATGCTATTTTGTAGGAAGTTTCGAAGAATGCTGCCGAAGCTACTGACGATGCCTCTAATTCAAAGGATGCAACAGCAGTCAATCCTGAATCTGGTGGATCAAAGGGTGTCTTGGTCAAGCTACCCGTTGACAAGCTGAAGGACTCTAAAGAGAGTGGTGATGAGTCCAAGAGCATGGCTGTTGAGGGAGAGGCAAGAGAAGATGTCAATATGAAATCCAAGTCTGAACGCCGCATGGAATCAAGCGGTGATAAAAGCAAGGACAGAGAAAGGGACAGGTTGAGAGACAGGGACAGGGACAGAAAAAGGGTCCGGGATCGTGATAGGGGCAGGGATTCTGACCGGGAACGAGATCGAGAGGAGGCCGAGAGGGATAAAAACAGGGATCGAAGTCATCGTTCAAGGGATAGAGCAAAAGATTCAGGGGGGCATTCAGATAAATCAAGGCACCACTCGTCACGAGATCGTGATCATCACAGTTCCTCGTATGCTTCCCGGGAGAAGGATCGTGATCGCCATAGACATCATTCGTATGCTTGAACTAATCGTCAGGACGCCTCTCCTTTTCCCTTAAACGCAACGGAACTCAATGTACTTTGGCTGTGTTTTGCTAATTTGGCAGATGTAATAGTGTATTAGAATTGTTACTGTAAGAACTAAATATACTGTAAGAACTAAGTAGAATTATATTTTGATACGATGTGCAATGCGAAATCTTCATTCTCTTGTTGAATGGTTGAATTACTTGTGATATCCTCGCATCCTTCTTTGTTGAAAACCCGAGTCATATTTTAAGCGTTGTGATTTTCGTACTCATATTTTCAACTTCAGCTGCTTTTCACTCTCCGACCTCGTTTGGTATACAGGATTGGATTCAGACGTGTTTAAGACGTAAGGCCTGTGGTACCTGAACTGCTCGAACCGGCCTTCCTCAGCTCGGTTCAAAGCCGCCCATCTCTGAGTGCAACCCAACACGAATATCCGAGTCCAAGGGATATCGTGTTTGTACGAGGGACTAACGTACGGGATCCAACCCGTACCTTCATCTTCTTCAACGGAATGATTTCCTTAATGTCGTTTCGTTTCGTGACGTTCTGATTGCTATCTCGAGGGAAAGCGGAGACAGCAACACAGCCACCACCAGAGTTGGTATAACAACTTGAAACCATCTCTCTAAGAAGAGTAAAGTCCACAATGCAAGTAGATCTTACATCTAACAAAGAGACGTTTAGATGTATTCTACAAAATGTGATCGCCCTAGCATTTTCTGGTACGGAAATCATACCATTTTATCGAACAGAGTAAGCTACACTACATAAACTACACATACCAAGGCAATAACTAGCAGAGTCTTCTATCAAAGACAGCAACCTTTAGCAGTACCATTTAACAGAAACAACTAAAAAGTTCAAGACTCCCTATTTTTGATCCGAAAGTTTAAATATTTGACACAGAGTTTTATTTTTCTGGTTGGTTTTTTTGTTAAGAAAAAAAATTTGAAGAAAAGAAACGCCCTGCATAGACAGGGATGCAAAAACTCCATTTAGCGGTAGGTATATGACGGACCTGCAAAAGCATAACGAGATGAAACTGGTGCATGCACAGGATCTGGGTTGGTCGCCTGGTAGGTTTCTCTCTGGTTATAACCTAATGAAGCAGCAGCAGCAGCAGCATCATGTCTCGAGTACAATGATAATCTCTCTACACGACGATCAGGCTCTCTGCTATACACAGGATCAGTCTCAATCAGGTAACTGTCTCTTGGTCCGTAGCTGGTTTCTTTCCTTTGCACAGGATCAGCCTCAATTAGGTAGTTTTCTCCCCTTCCACCAACGGAATAAGATCCTGACAGAACATCCTCTCTCCTATAGGGTGCCAGGTATGGGTCTGACATTGAAGAACCATAATAGGAACGATAATACGGCTCCCTTGCATATGCATCCACGGCAGTAGCAGAAGTTGCAGGTGGCAACTCGTGTCTAGCACCAAGAGTATGAGTATCATTCAAGTAGAGACGATCGGAATGAACATTTTCTCGATGTGCGGGAACAGCATCTCTGTAAATGAAGTTTGTCTGTCTTAGAAGATGCTCTCCTTCATGCTCCCTATGGCGAGATTCTACAGCTGGAGTAATTGGATGAGAAGTCACATTTCTCCTGTCTCCCTGAAGACCATAAGCTCGATATTCCTTTTCAGTTAGGTACAAATCATGAGAAGTTTCCTCTCTCCTTGCAGGTACCACCTCTCGGTGTGCAACATGCTGGTCCCTTTCATGAGCTAACACCGGGTAACTCCTTGCATCAGCATGGGCATAAGGATCTCTAGTACGTGCATCCCTGTGTGAAAGCGGCCGTGATTCTCTCACCCCCTCATGAACTCCCCGATCCCGTGCTTTTGTTTCCAGCGGGGAACGGGGGGCTAGAACTGATGAATGCACTTGAGCTGGTCGGAAAAGTGCCGTGAGCCTCCTGACCTGAAATGAATATATTGGATACAACTCCGCAAAAATGTAATGAAACGACGGCACTTCAGTCCAGGAAAGGAAAAAAATAGCAATTAATAAGAGGAGAGCAGTTTATCTCACTTGTCGAACCGTAAGTTCAGTTTTGAACTTGTTTTTCCCATCATAGTTTTCCTTTATTGCCTTCTTGAAAACACTCTCAGGTAGGGGAAGACAATCTTTCTCCACATTGAACCGCACCTGAAATTTGCAAGTCATCAGCACAAAAATCTGGTTAACTATAAAAAAGCAAACAAGGAGGTGGATCTAAGAGAATGTGACCTGAGCAGGGAAGGCCCCACCAAAAGCTTTTGGCTCAAGTCTTAAGCCTCCACGAGAGGATGCTTTGTAAACCCCATACAAAAACTTAAGATCGAAATCATAGAGAAAAAGCTTCAACCCAGGTTTGATACCTAAAACGACATCTTTTTTACCCATTGTAACACCCATGATACGGTAGTGGAAACAGTCTGGCTTTGTCTTTCCACTGCACATGAAGATCAAACCACCAAGTTTTTCTCTCTTATAATCACGTTTTTCACTGTTCTTTTCACTCTTGACACTCTTGTCTGACTCGCGTCGTTTTTCTGTACTCTGTTTTTGTTGGCTCTTTTCAGATTCGTCAAAATTTTCTGGATTCTTCTGAGCCTGATGGCTCTTCTCCGTAGCCTCTTCTTTCAAGATATTCTGTTGGTTCTGTTTACTTAAACTCAGCTTCTTGCCATCTTCTTCTCTTGTTTTGCTACTCTCGTTGTTACCCCTATTCCTTTTCCTTTTCCTCCCATTAGCTTGTGAAGTACCTGTACCTTTGCTAGTTTTCAAACTGTTTTGAACAAGAGTTTTCTTCACGATTTTAGCTTTTCCCTTCAATGATCTTGGGATCCTCTTTCCAGAACTGGATGCTCCAGCAGAAGAGGCAGTTTTCTTTTCAGATAAATCAGGCTTCTTAGACGCTTCCTCAGGAGAAGACATTTTCTTTTCAGCAGACTCAGGTCCACCGAACACTTTAGCAGAAGAAGAGATCTTTAGTTCAGATGAATCTGGGGTGTTGGAGGTTTCTGCAGGTGAGGGGACTTGTTCTGATGGCTCTGGATTATCCAACACTTCTGCAGGTAGACTGATCACTTCGGCAGAAGAGGGGATCTTCAGTTCAGATGACTCTGGTGTGTTGGATGTTTCCGCAGGAGAGTGGATTTGTTCAGAGGACTCTGGATTATTCAACGCTTCGGCAGAAGAGGCGATCTTCAGTTCAGATGACTTCAGTGGGTTGGATGTTTCTGCAGGAGAGAGGGTTTGATCAGATGACTCTGAATTATTCAATGCTTCTGCAGGACTCTCTATTTCCTTCCTGTTATCTGTTTCCACATAGTTATCATCTAGTTCCATAGTATATCCATATACTAAACAATCGGGTTTACAAAGCCAAACGAATCCTGCAAACAATTTGGTAATGAAGTGATTCTTTTGTTTTCTATTAAAAACAGAAGAACACAGGAACCACATATCCAGTCCAGAAGAGGAGTCAATCGAATGTGAGAAAGAAAAGGAAAGAAAAACAGTGTGAAAAGGAAAGAAAATGAATGTAAAAGCAACAGAAACAAAAATTAATGGAATGAGTGCAAAAGCACCTTCCATGTTTCATCTTGTTTTGGAGCACTGAAATTTTTTTTTTTGAAGGCAATAAAATAAATCCTTTGGGATGCTAAATGGAACGGTATCATCGTCATTCCAAGAGAATTGTTCAAACTCAAAATCCTCTTTAACATTTCAGTGCATAATACAGAATAGGTTTCTAATGGCATGCCATTGTCTTATATCAGTCAGTTTCAATACTGAAAAATCACCAACCCTAGAAGCACGGATCTTAGAAGGAGAAAAGACGGATGGTCCTTTATGTTTAAAGTATGACAGGTGGTCTATGCACATAAGCTCTGCCTATAGAGATAAAAACCCTTCCTCTGTATGCACAACGAATAAAACAAAACTAAAAACAACATTGAAGTTGTCAAACAAACAGATATACCTCTGTGTACACGTGTGTGTGTGTGTGTGTACCCCTATATATGTACATAAATATACATTGCAGTGGCCATTTGGTATATGCATGCATGATCAGTATGCGTGTATGACGTTGTGCATATGGTAAGAACAATAACTTCCACACCTTTAGGTGGATGTCACATCCCCCATTTTATTCAACAAAGAGCATACCTCTAGTGTGAAAACTACAATGTTGTCGTAATTTCACTAGAAACATGAGAAACACAAATCTCTTTCTCCACGAAACCCTTCCAATCCACCAGTTTCTCTTCCCTCTGCTTCGCTAAGCCATCAAATTACAGTTATACAATTTTCTTTTCATTCCTCAAAGACTCAAACATTTGAAAATTATGAAGCTTGAGTACACCCCTAAAGACAAATAATTATACTTCTTTTTCAATATGTAGGCTTATTCCCAGGTAACCATGAACAACACCACCATATCCTATGCAAGAGAAGCCCAATTACCCAAAGTGTCAAGAAATCTTAGTTGCACTTCGCACAAGCCATTTCAATTGAGATGTAAGCGCCAATAAAGTTTGTATCACTACCACTGGACTATTCATATTTTCAAATTTACCTAAGCTCCACTGTACTATATGTATTTGCAAACAAAATCACATTATATTCGATGGCACAGGAAGTGGGAACAGTCAGACTAACTCAAGAAGCCGCTCTGCTACAACTATATCAAAGCCACTTAAACTAAATAGTGACAGATATAATAAAATAGAAGACTCTAGACAAACAACGGTTGAAAATTTAGTAGGTTCACTACCTTAATCTAATGAAAATTCTTTGTCACAATTGATCACATAAATAAATTTCTAGTAAAAATCATGACAATGGCTTGACTATTAAGTTCGTGACCATTTTACCATACTTGTTGGCTGAACAGAAACATGCTGCACGTGCAAAGTTTGTACATGCGAATAATATCACAGTTCATTCTAAGGAATCTGCTCCGTTAGCTGAGCTACTCAATTAAACGGAATTGAATGATTAATAAAAATCAAGACAACGGTTTGAGTATTTAAGTTTTTTCCACACAGGAGGCTCAGCATTATCATGCAAATGCCACGCATGCACTTTCGGTACATCTAGCAGCATCAG